TTCCGAGTTGGCTTTGGGTTGGAGAAAGCTACACAACGTTCCCTTTTTACCAGGTGGATTTGCTGATAGAGAAGGAAAAGCATTGACGATTCGGTCTCTAAATCACTGTCTACGCGCTGAATGATAATAGGATGCTTTTCGCTTGTGAAATATTCAAGAATTTAAATCTTATAAATTTAAATTTATTTCAAGTGCATTGAATCTCTGAAAATTGTTTTTCAAATAACGAGCCTATCTAAACGCATTTCGAATTATAGGACAATAGTCAAAACTTTCAGCGTTACAGTAAATTTATTGATCGTCATGTCAGTGCATAATATTCGAAAATAAAGTTACGTTGCGCTAGGATTTCATTTGTTGTTTAAAGTCGCATCTTTCCGTGCGGGATTTTGTGAATCACCGAACATCACCTTTAAATATAAAAGAGTTTCAGCTTTGTTGTTAAGCTTAGAGGGATTTGGAGTTTACTATGGCTGAGGCAAAGCTTGAAATGTCGCTGGAAGATATCATCACCTCTGGACGTGGAAAAAACGTGGGTCGTGGACGGGGACGAGGTCGTGGAGGTTCATTTGTGGGGCGAGGTAGAGGACGAGCCAGGCAGCGGTCAACTAATGCTTTTGTTCGAGTAAGATATGGTTTTCGATGCGCTCAGTTATCACGTCAGTAATTTGTTCTGTTGCCTAAAACAAGTGTTATACAGCATGTTCAAGACATTTCGGATCACGCTTAACTAAAGTCCATCTGTATGTTATATGTTGCAGTAGCGATCCTATGTTCCAAAACATTAGTCGTGAATTCTGAATTTATTATCAGTAGCCAGATTTTCAAGTTGCCGGTTGGCATAATATGTATATATTGGTTTCCAGGTATGCCCGACTGTCTTACCGTTACCCTTTTCATCGGGTGAATTTTCGGAAGCGACACTAATGTGTGGTTTTACGATATAGTAATTTTTGCTACATAGTGTCCTCTGAAGACAGACCTACCTCCACCCGATGCTTCAGAATTTTTTAAACAGATTTGTATGCAGAATATGCTTTTTCAGAACCTTGGTGAATAATAATATTTTGAGTCGTTGCTTGTTTTGATATCGTTATCTTCTGCTGACAGAGCTTAAGCTGCCGAACACCCTGATTTATATCTAACTGTAGAAATGCCATTTCAGATGATATTAGGCTCCGTTTACTTCTGCACATTACAGAGGAATTTTTTTAACCGATATTTTTGCTCTGGTTTATCTCGCTCTCCGAAGCGTATTTTTGATCTGAAACCTTGAAGACTTTTTAAATATTAAGCTTCTAGATCATTTCATTCACTATGCACTTATAACATAGTCATTGTAATTTATACAAGCAAGAATTCCTCAAAACAAAAGGTCTTCTGATCTGTAAGTTAAAGTCACAGAGCGCTGGTTTATTCGAAACATCGGCATTAAATTTACTCGCATCGTCTTTGTGTGTTTAACCATTGAGTAAGAAGACGTTCTCTTCTGAAGGATCTTTACATCAGGTGTTGCACTGAATTGACTATGGATTTCAGTTCGTACAGTTTGTACAATTAATACTACAGTGTCTCGTCATTCACTTCATGTTATCATGTTAATTTATTTGTGTAATCAATGGATTGTCACGTTTCTGTTGGGATGCCAGTAGCTAGCATAAGCATAACCACAGGGTGATCTACATAATGAATTTTAATCTTTTTCCCGATGTAATTTTTCCCGATTTAAATGTTTATCTGTGAGAATTGGCAGTCGTCACCTTTCGATCCATTCTTATGGGTCTTATTTCTGAGATGAAAATTTTCGGTGGAATATGCAATTTAAGTATATAACATGCTTAAAGCCATTTTTGCTGTAAGACTTTTCATTTATATGGCAGTTTAACTAGGTGTTGAGCTTTTCTCTCTTTTTTGATGCCTATGAATGTAATATGCTAATATGTATATTTACAGACTACCGAAATTCCCGCCGGTCGATGGCTTCATGATCGTTTCGCCGGAGATCTTGGCGCGTTTCGCATGGTAGGCGGCGTAAATGCGGCTACGAAGCTTCTGATAACGAATCTCGACTATGGAGTGTCGGATTCCGATATTCAGGTATGTGAAAGTTGTCGTTTGGCTTTTCGCTGTGCCCTAATCTGACGTTCCTGTTATGTTCAGGAGCTGTTCGGTGAATTCGGACCACTCCGCAGAGCTGCTGTCCACTACGATCGTTCCGGTCGATCGTTAGGTTCAGCCGATGTCGAATATGAGCGTCG